ACCAAATCCTGTATTGAGGTTTATATTACTATTTTCTTATGGCAGGCAAGACAATATTATTAGATTACAGTATGCTAGAAATCTGAAAAATTAAGGCCCCATTCCTGCAATGTATTGTGTGTGGGTTCCCCTCCATCCAGGCATAGGGTCCACCCGCATGCAATGCATTGCAGAATCAGTATCTTACTGAACACACCTATAATTACTCTGCTCAGCAACAGAATTCATGAAAGTGGTTTTGTAAGTACATGTTTTTACTACATATACCATCCCACTAATATCAGTTGATGTACAGTTTTCATTTTGTTCACTTTAATCCCTTAAAATATGCAGAAAATTTACAAAGATATGATTCATTAATTTATGTTAGAAGGCTTAAAAAGAGGTTTTCACTACTAAGCACTACCAACTATTATATTTTACTCTAAAGTAAAATTAGGGTGCCAAATCCTACCAACAACCAATCAGACACAATAGAATCTTTTGGTTATGAAGCATAAACTAATTCAACATCAACAATGCAGTTTTCCTTAGGCTTCCAATGAAACTGTACACAATCATAAAAAATATTAACCACTTAGATCTATGCACTATTTTTGTATGAAGTGAAATAGTCACAGTAGGCTAAAAAAAAAAAAAATCACATAAAAATACACAATTTTCATTGGATTTTTGTCAATGTCAAAAAGCTATACATCTATCAGTATACATCCAGGGGCTCAATCCTGCATATAGACATCTGGGTAACTTTACTCACATAAGTAATTCCATTTAATTCAGTAGGGCTATGTAGATCAGTAACATTACTCACATGCATAAATGTTTGTAGATTCAGGCCCTAATGTATTTTGGGAAAGTTAAAATAAATGAAAATATACCTAATGCATTCTCCCATTAAAAATCATCAGACAAAAATATAAACTGGGTGCTTAATAAACATAGCAAAAAAAAAAATCTATAGGTAACTATAGATTAGCCTGTAGAAAAGCATCTATAATGTGCCTATAATTATTAAAGCATGTCAATATAATTACAAATAAATAGAAAGGTTATCAATATATATATATAAATATACATAAAGTCAAACCAGTCTCATATTTAGTAAAATTTAATAAAGATAAAGGGATTTGTTCATGATTTTCCACATATGTATTTTTTTCTTTCCTTGTTTTGGAATTTCAATACTATATTTTAATAATTGCAGGTGTGCTATAGCCTATTTTCTGCAATAGATAACAAAATATCTCATCAATATTTAAATAAAATAAATATTTAAAAATAAGGTTACAAAAAAACTACAATATATGAGAATTCTTTGCTTGTTCAATTATTTTTTTCAGTTTGATTTAAAGAACTATTCGACAAACTTGGATTAATAAATAATAAATAAAATAATAATAATATCACCTAGCTCTTATACAGTGCTTTTCATCAGTAGGTCTCAAAGCACATTACAAAGATCAGTATCATTATAATTTATTCCTTAAACCTAAGATTCATGCTGCATTATGCAATGGTCCAATCCTGCTCCCACTGAAAACAATTGCGAAACTCCCATTGATTTTAACTGGAGCAGAACTGGATGCCTATTTGTTTCAACAACCAGGTATAACTTCTCATAACCCATCTATCTGAATATGAAAAAAGCAGTTAGGTTTTCCAAACTGGAAATTAAGACCCCAATCCCACAACTGACTGAACAGGAGCACATCCCGGAGCCTGCCCTGAGTCCTGTTGAAGTCAATAGGGCTCTGCGCACAGTCTGTTGCGGGATCAGTGCCCTATTTACCTATGCATACTTGCTTTAGCACACCTGTGGGGAGTACTGCAGATAGTCTTGTGTCTTAAACTCTGTATCACAACCGATAGAGGCTAAAATTAATTTCCAGTGTAACTCCATTTAAGTCACTGTCGACACACCAGGGATAGGACACTGGGTCAGTTATTACTTTATCTAAATTGTACAGTTTTCTTTCATTTCAATGTACTGATTGTTAAATTTTAAAAAATACAATTTAGTAATTATTTCTATGCAAAAAATCATAAAACATACTCTGGAATAATCAGGCTCTCGGGGTGTGGAGTCAGTTAAAGCGCGGACCAGGGCATTCATCATACTGATTGGAGGAGAAGGTGGGGAGGGCTGGGAAGGTTCCTGTTGTAAAGGGCTCTTTGGTTTGGAAGGCAGCCGACCTCTTCTCCCTTTCAGGCTATCAGTACGGACAACTGATTAAGAAGAACAAAAATCAGTCCACAAAGACATCATCAAAAAACTACAACCACAAATGAGCACCAGGTTAGTTCTTAATTATGATTAGTCCAGCAAAAACCATAATATTTTTCCATTTAGATAGATAGATAGATAGATAGATAGATAACTGTCATCCTTAATTGCAGAGATATAAGTGAATATTATAAAACAGTGTGAAGCTCAGACTTGTAGCCAGCAATGTTACATTTGAACAGCACCCTTTTTATGTAACCCCAATTCTATCCCTGTATTTTTTTTACACGCAAACACACACACATACACAAATACAAACTCTAATAATAATACTAATAATGTACATTTAAGCCTTCTTACTGAAGAATTCTTAGCTTCCTTAAAACACTTCACATGCTATGGGCCTAATCCTGAAAATGCTTACTCATGTGAGTACTCCCATCAGTGGGACTACTCACATACTTAAGCATTTGCAGGATTGGGGCCTATGGATTCAATCCTGGCTCCATTACAATCAATGGCAAACCTTATATTTAATTCCCTGGGAACAGACCAGCACCCTATGTAAAGGTACACAGGACACAAAGTAATGCAGCCCCTCTATGAGGTGGCAGCCAATTGCAGTACAGCACACTGTACAGCAGGAAAGGGAGGAGAAACTTTGGCCAGGGTCACTGGGAAAAAATCTTTCTCTGATGACCTTGCTGTTCTTGAACCTGTGGTTCCAAAGAATCTAGATATTATAAACCTAATGCCTGAAGAAAAAAACAAACAAAAAAAACTTACATATATTGCATATACCCACACTTTGGGGGTAAGTAAACTAGAAAGCCTAACATTATAAAATTTCTCATAAAAATTAAATCTATATATTTTAACATAAGTAAATTTAATATTCAGATATTTGTATTTATGATAGCTCATGTTCCTTACCTTCTTTAACCATGCCGACACTGAGACACTTCTGAAAGCGGCAGTACTGGCATCTGTTACGACGTCTCTTATCCACTGGACAGTTTTTATTTGCCAAACAAACATATTTTGCATTTTTCTGAACTGTTCTCTGAGAAAATGCAACACAGAAATAGTCAACTCATAGTTTCTTGAATGAGCTAGGACCTGACAAGATGTATTTTAATTACAATGTGAAAAGCGACAGTGCAATTTGTATAATTAGATAAAATTAATTTCCTAACACACTAGCCTGCAGGAAAAACAGTTTTATTGGTGTTAGCTGCTGACAATGAAAATTGTCTAGGATTGTTCTGAAGCAAGTCTCAGGAGACAGCCAACTTTGAATGATAAAATCATATCTGAAATTACCAGGTCATCGCATCTACCTTTGGGGATTAGATTATCTCCGCTTTTAATATCCCTTTGGGAACAATTTTCTACTTGGTTCATTCCCCTGATTATTACTGACCTTATTAAAATAGAATCAAAATGATCTGGTATGTACTTCTCTTGCTATCGCTGTTGTTAGTCAAATATCACAATAACTGGTTTTGCTTGCCATTAAAATCAGTACAGATGAAATCAAAACTACAAAAACCAAACCAAACCAAAAAAACCCCAAACCTTTCACAATTTAGCTAACTCTCATGGACAAATAACTTATTTTGGAGAAAATGAATGGAGCTATATTGTAGTGACACTTGCTTAGCTATAAAACAAATGTTTGGCGAGGATGCTGGCCAATTTATTTTTAAAATCCTACTTATATTCTAACAAATAATTTTGAAAACTATCAAATAATTCAGATTTGATAAAAATAAGTTAAGACTAGAAAAAGAATAAAGCAGATATTGGTACAAACAGTGTAATGTGTTTTAATATTTAAAATCGATGCTATTTCAATAAATAATTCAATTTCACCACAGATGAGCATTTAATAGCAAAGTCTTAAAAGCAACAACAATAAAACTCATAATTACTGTGAGATTATAAACTGAATCTTTCCTCAATATGAAATTATGTAGAAAAATGTTTATTTCTTTCACATTTGTGTTCCTTAAAAAACAAGATTAAAAGTAATAAAAATAAGAAACACATGAAATCATTCACCACTTAAACTACAGATTGCATCTTAGAACTGGAAAATCATTTTGTAAATTTAGGGCCCAATCCTGCTCCCATATAAATTCACAACAGTTTTGCTACTGACTTCCACAGGAGCAGGAACTTAATAGCTACTTTTCCCATATGATTTTTGGTACCTATTCTAATTATGTTTAAACAACTAAGAGTTTTAATAGATATGTGTATTTTTACCATATTATAAAAGTATTATCATTGAGTAATGTTACTAGTAGTAAGTGCAATAAAAAAAATGCTTTAAACATTGGCTCCTATCAAAGCCAATGCAAAAACTCCCATTAACTTCAACAGGCGCAGGTCTCTGATCTTTACAAAAAGAAATTGACTAAATCAAATCTTCAACCATGACACTAATAAATCAAACCCTAAAATCTACCCCAAGCTCTAAATTTAAACATGCCATTTGTAAGAGTAAACTGAAACCTTACATACGATCTGTAAAAAACAAAAACAAATACTAAAACCTAGCATTAAAAAACAAACAAACAAAAATACATAAACCCAGAAAGAATAAGCAGAAAGTTTCTTCGTAGTAAATGCATTATGTATTACCTGTCCCCAGAACCTTCTCAGTTAGTCTCATAGCTAATATTGAGGCACTATATAGTGCTTAGTCATTGCACTACTTAATACCTTTCACAGATCAGAATGCACTGGTTTCTAAACTAAATAGTTGTAGTCAAGCAGCAACTTCCTAGCATGACAAATGTTCTGTTGTATAACATACATTGACTCAATTGCCTCCTTGGCATGTCCTTAAATCTACATTTCTTTGTATTGCCCTATGGAGAGAGATTACACTTTTCACTGTTACTGCTAGCTGAATTATCGGGTGACTATCAGGATGTCTGTATTTTATGCCTTGTTTTAAAAATATTTAATTAGTCTGAATGACTCAGTAAAGTCCAGTTTGTTGACAGCAAAATAAATGCAGCTAGATTTATTTCAAGAGAAGCTCCTGAAACAGTTGCTCTGCACTCTACGGAAAGACATTATGGGCCAGACACTAGGCTGGTGTACATCAGGTTAGCTCCATTGATTCAGCTGACTGAGGCCTTGTCTACACAGTGTGTTAGTCCACACCAGAGCAGTGTAAATTCTAGTGCACCCTAACATGCTGCACATTGACTGGCACATGCGGACTCTGCTGGCGCCCACTAACTGTCCCATAGCATGCATTCTTAGTACTTTTTGAAATGGCTGGGATTACATTAATGCACACTAGGGAACTTTTAGTGCATGGCAGCAAGGTCCCACAGGCCAGTTAGTGCATGACACACTATTGTGCACTAGAATTTACACTCCTTTGGTGCAGACTAACACACCGTGTAGCCATGCCTTGAGATTCTGTCTGAGAACTAGCCCAATCCCTACACTACATCCTCTGGAGGATATGATTTGGCTTTGTATGAATAGTCAGCTGGTGTCTATCTTCCCTCACTAGACTACCTAGATGGTGTGTTTTTACTCTAATATACACTTTGCTCACAGAATCATCCTAACTTTGCTGGGTGAACTGATCAACATAACAACACCTGAAGCAGTCAATGGTTAGCGTGAATGGTGTGGGGATGACTTGGGATGGGGATTGGCATGTGTATGTAAGTATATGTGGTTCTCACCTTAAAGAAGCCCTTGCACCCCTCGCATGTCCGTACCCCATAGTGTTGGCAGGCAGCATTGTCCCCGCACACAGCGCAAGTGCCTTCTCCAGATGAGGAGCTCCTGCTGGGCGGGGAAGGCAGGCCACTGCTGCTGCCACTGCTCTCGCCCAACAGGCTGGAAGTGGCTGCATTGAGGCCCAGTGGCGAGAAGGCTAAGGCGGCTGCTCTTTTGGCCAGGGGAAGCCCATAAGGATGGTTCTCCATAGTGGCTTGACCGGCAGTGGGTCTGTCAGATCCCAGAGGCAGGCTTAGGGCAGCAGGGTCATAGCACATGTGGGCACCAGCTGCAGGCGTGTGGGGTGGCGAGTGCTTGAAGTGGAAGAGAGGGAAGCGGGTGGGCACAGTCTTCATAGGGGCAGAGTCCATCAAGTGGCTGGGGGCCATGCAGGTCTGTGCAGGCTGCAGCGGATGTGGGGGTTCGTCCCACATGGAGGCCTGGTGAGAAGGGAATCCAGGAGTGGTGGGCGTGGAAGGCGGGGACTGCTTGAAGTACATGGAGGTGCTGGGCATCCCTTCATCTGTGGAGGGGGGCAGTGAGGAGTGGTAACTATGTAGCCGGCTGTCTTCCATTTTTATTAGGGGCCTCTGGCTGGAGGAAGCAGATTGCATTTGGTACAGGCAGGAGGGCTTGAGCTCATAGCTGCCAGAGTAACCCTCCATGAAGGTGCTGAAGCTGGGCAGGGAGGTGGTGGCGGTGGCAGTGATCTCGGTGCTGCTCAGGTCCATGGTCAGTTTGGTGTAGTCAGGATTCATGATCTCCGAGCTGTACTCTGAGCCATATGCGTAGGTCTGAGCTGCATAACTCGAACCAGGAGGTGAAGGGCTATACTGGGCTTGCACACAGGGCATATCTGCAAGGGCAAAAGGGGCCATTAGCAACAACAACAAACAACAACCACCTCGCTGCGGCTGCAGCTTCGGGTCATCACTTACAACTCTCTTCGCCTTTTATGGTTATTTCCTGCATTTCACGGAACAAAATTAGACACCCACTGCCAGAATGTGGGAGTTATAAATTTCCTCTGAGTACTCAGTATTTGAGAAGAAATATATATTAGATGCATATGGGGCCACATTCTGTTCTCAGTTACATTGTTTGAAATCACTGGAGTTGACCCAAATTTACACTGGTGTAAGTGAGAGCAGAAGCTGGCCCTAACTGCCCTAGATCTGCCGCCTAATAGACAGAGATGTCAATGAGAATTAAATAAGAAGCATGAAAACAGTATATGAATAGATGCAATTATGCCATAAAAATTTCATAACGAAAAAAACCACACTATCACCGTCTATTCTATTATATGAGAGAGAGAGAGAGGTACATATATATATGTACATTGTCTACAGTGTACATCAAAAACACAACTGAAATCCCTGTATCTGTTACTGAGGAGCTGTGAAGATAAATACTTCTTACTTGACCTAGAGTCTACATACAGTATTTCTGATCAGATCATAATTAAGGGTGATATCTTGCCATCAGCTTTTAAGAAGAACTCCCCATTAAAGGGAGGACTGCTAAAAAAAGATGGCACAATAGACCCTAACATTTTTAAAAATGTAAAGGCAAAAGTGCACTGTATTTCTGTCCTGATTGTTATAGGAGATCTAGGCTGAGGTTGATACTAATCCTGTATTTTTTTTTCATCGCATCATGAAAGTAAATCCAGTTCACTCATAGCTAAAATGATGACTCTAGTAACACAAGGAGTTGATTTCTTTCTTTATTTTCCACTTCTTCATTCTTCACTTTATTGCTCATAGGACATTACAGACCCAATACAACAATCTTTATGAGGTTTGCCTGCTTAAGCACTACAGGTTTCAGTATTTGCAATCAAAGCTAAAGACAGTCATTGAGTTTCACTTTAACAAAATATACATCTTATTATTAGTTAGTGGAAATGCTTTCACATGAAAAACCTGAGAAAGTAAAGAAGTATTATTACCCTTGGAGGAAATATATTTCAAAATTAGGCCTAGTTTATCTTTTTATAACCAGTATAATTCATATTCCAGAGGCATTGGATAAATGATACATACAAACATTTCTAAAGTTTAAAGATAGCTGTTCTTCCTGGATATTTTAAGAAGACCCTTTACTTTGGTTTCTTAAAACGTTTACAAGAAACTCTCACACAATAATCAAATTAATTTCTATTAAATAAACTTTGAATTCCTAATTTGTAGAGAAACACATTTAAATTAAGAACAGATTTTAATTATTGTATTTTCATGTCAGAAGAAAGACCAACAATTTCAAGTTTTCAAGGACCTTTGTAAAAATGTGGGAGAAAATTACTGCTTTTGTTTCCTAACATGAGTCTTTGAAGACTACTTTTATTTATATATCCAAATATTATATATATACATATTTAAAAATAGGACAAAATCTTCATAAATCTTGCCTCAAAAATCTTATTTATTTTTATTTCTAAAATGTGCCTGCCAGTCTCTGGAGGCATATACACAATTGAACTAACACAAATTAAGAAAGAAAACTCAGTGTCAACTTGTGATATTATCAAACAAGGGAAGTTAAACAACTGGTTTTCCTAAATATGTTGATTATATGTTAATAGAGTAAAAGGAAATGAAACTCCTTCCATACACCTCCAATGAAAATTCATTGAGAAATGCAGTTTAACAAGCAGATAAATAATGTCACAAATTGACATGTTGACACAGAATCTTGTGAGGGAGAAGGATTTTCTGTCTGTGCTGAATAGGAGCAGGAGCTGATAAGAGATGACCTGCTGGTCCTCTTCTCTTCAGCAAGAATACCTACACTACTGAATATAACATGGCTATTTCACTTTAAGAAACTATTATGCTAAATTTGCTATAAGGGAATAGAAATCTGCATCAAACCCTATTTGAAGAAAAGGAGGAGGAAAGAATTAAGGTAAGGATCTATTCAGATCTGCAGAACTCCTCTTACTATACTGATTCCCAGTGTGATCTACTGACTAGTTCTAACTCCTGTTAGAACTCTGTTTTTTCTTTCTACTTTAAGCACTGGGATTAGTTTTCCTCAAAAATAAATAATAACGTGATAATTTAATAATTATTATTTCTTAACAAAAGGTGCTTAAAATAATCACGAGCCACATTTTAAAACGATGTATTACCAAGACCAAGATAAATAAATACAAAATCTGGTTAGGAACATTTCAGAGGCACTAACCTTTCTGAAATCTTTGTGAGACTGTTACATGAGAATAGGAGTTAATAATGTTCACAGCAACATCCCACCCACTTGCTTGCAATTTTCTCTTTCAATTTTTACACATTGTTGGTTAGGGACTTTTAATTCCTATGGATTCAGTCATAACAGTAAAAGTTTTATTAAATACAGTCTCTGAATGACTATGAAATTAAATCGGGGACCAAATTTTGCTCGAAGGTAAACTCCTTGCGTCCTGTTCAAAGCGAAATGGCATTTGCAAGAGCGAAATTTGGCCTTACAAGTTTGAAAATATTAAAACTATTGATAGCATTTGCAAAAGAAGCTCGGCGTATTGGCAGGAGACTTTATTCTCACACCGATTCCACTAATTCCAGGTTGCTGGGAGAAGCCAATTGTCTGAATTCTGCTCTCTGTTCCCCCAGTGTAAACCCAGAATAACTCCACTGACTTCAAAGGAGCGACTCTGCATTTACACCGTGGACTTAGGGGCTGAATGCGCAGTATTAGGAATCTGAGCGGGCAGTGGGCCCCCAGCCCCTGTGTGCTCGCTCGCCCGTGAAGCGTCTGTTACCTGGAGGGTATCTTGCTCGCTGAATGGTGGGGCTGGTTGTCTGGACGGCGGAGGCTGCAGGAGGAGGCGGAATGCGGGCTGGCTGGGACCGGTCTGCGGGGCCGGGTTTGGAGCCGGGACTCAGCGTGGGGCGCTCTTCCGAACCGGGCTCTGTCACACAACAGGGAAAGAGAGAGGTCGGGAGTCACAACGTGGTCTGCACCCGATCGCGGCTGAGACCAGCAGCCAGGCACGGCGACTGCCAGGGACTCGGAGACCCGAGCTGAAATGACGCCGTGGGACTGAAAACAAACCGCAGAGCCGGGGATGGGAGGCAGGTTCTGAAGGGAAAGCCACACCTCGGCCACCTGCAGCCTGGGGTAACAACGCGTTAACGTGGGAACTGGGAAGGGAGAGACAAATGCCCAGCCCCAGCTCCCCCCAAACTGGCGAGGGGCTTCTCGTGTTCCTCAGAAAGCAGGTCGCAGCCTTTCCCCTAGAGGTTAGAAAAACTCCAGCCCTAAAACTGCCATCCCCCCTTCTCTCTCGCTCAGGACACCCGGGGAAGAGTCGGGAGATGCCATGGAAAGGAAGTTTACACACTTTTTTTCAATAGCAATGTTATGGCAATATCGGGATCGGATTGGGAGTAAAGCCAAGAAAGCAGGCTCCTTTCGCCCAGCGAAAACGCACAGAGAAGGGCGCTGTGGAAAATGTTTAGCAACTTTCCCTCTAAATTGCTTGGCCCTTTTGTCCCACGTGTGCGGGCATTTTCGGGGGCCAGCAGGAAGTTTAAATCCGGGTGGATCCAAGCCAGAGGACAGTTATGTCCAAGGTAGACAGATTCTTGCTGTGAACTGAAAGGATTTCTTACACCCCAAGCTTGCCTTCTCTGTGCAGTCCCCGAAGGGTCGGCGCTCGCTCTCTCCCCAAGGGGGTGGAGGAATCCCGGGGATCAGCCCCCAAACCTAGATCACCAATGCCAGCTTCTGTTCTCGACCTGCCACAGAGCTCTGCCTCGGGCTTGCAGAGCCCCTCGCATACTATATAAAAGCGATGCTTTAATCTAGTCTGGGGTAAGAGACCCCCCCAACGGGGCGGGCATCCAATAACGACACCATTTTAAAGAAGTTCATTTCCCTCTTCCGATCATATTCAGTACCTGAAGGGATCCACCACGTTTGCTGTCCTCGTACCTTACTGACAACCCCCCTCTCATTCAGCGACTGCAGCCCTAAAACCAACTGCCTTTCTCCTGTCCCCCGAAGGCCCCGCCGCCTTTGCATCCTCTCTTCTGCCCTCTCTCCTCTCCCCCTGGTGCTTTGCGATGGCTCATCTCTTACCTGGTTTGGCTTTTTCACGCTTATTCTTGAAGTCAACATCTGCGTATCAGAGGGGAGGCTTTGCATTTCGGCGGGGATACACTAACATCGCCGCCCGTGTCAGGAGAGGCCCCCTCCCCCACAGCCCTTGTATGTATTAGCGCGAGTCCTGGCCAGGAACTTTCGCCTACTTTTGCCATTATTCCCTGCGAAGCGCCCGGGGTGTCAAACGCTCATCTGCTCATCTCCTCTTCTCCCGGGGCTTTTCATCCCTCCCTGCCCTTGCAAGGCCGCTTCTCCCACTGCACTGAGCGCCCCAGGGCTCCTCTCCTCCCCCAAAGCCGCCGGTTACCTAGAGACACTCTTTGCGCCTTCAAACATGCAGCACTCCTCCGGACTGCAGCCGCTGAGCCAGGAGCTGTAAATTAGGAAGGAATAACTACCCTTGTCAAAGCGCCTTTCTTCCTCCTTACACTTTACATTCAGCCCCCAGTGACACCCCCTCACCCTCTCCGGTAATCTGAGGAGGAAACCGTGAAATGCTCCATTGTGATTGTGGTTCTTCAGCTGAGTTTCGAAACCTTCCTTTACCCCGGGAGGGACCGCGAAGGGGATGTGTCACTGAATTAAAGTTTCAGCTGCATGTGGAGCAGCGGCTACTTTGTCATTTAATCGCTACGTAACTATAACACCAACCCACGGAACTCCAGCAAATAGCGCGCAACTTCAGTCAATTTCATCTCTGAGCGGCCCCGGCCGTTCTCTGTGTCTCAGCCTCTCGCTTTCACTGTGTTAGCATTGGGACAAGAAGAATTTTACATACAACAGTCCCCACGGAGAAAAAAGAAAATGAATTGAAGAAGCTAATAAGGTGAAGCAGGCTGGAGAGAATCCCAGTGATTAATTCCCGAAATTTATTTGAAAGTGACTCTCGCAGGGTCCCGTCTCGCCCCCCCCCCGCCCCAATAGCATTTTCCATCCTTCATTTGGGAAAACTTTGGGAGTTAAATCCTTTAGCTCAAAATAGGGTGAAAACCAAACAACACTTCTCAACAATGTTAGTTAAGTATTAAAGTTTAGACGATCCATACCGCCACCGTGACAGCGCAGTATCGCGATACTGCAGACCAATAGCTGTCCACAAAATACCAAACTTGAATGCCCATTATACAATATGTTATTGATTCTTTTAAAGACAGGAGCTGCTTCGCAGTTATTAAGAGAGACATTTATACAGCGAGTAAGGCAGCGAGTGAAATGCAGCTCCTCTGTACTGTAACACACGTGCTGGGTCAGTATAGTATGTAATTACAATTTATGACCTCCAAAGGGAAAAGTGCAAATTTCTTAGGAGCATCTGCCAGGCAGACGTGCCTAGCAAAGATCCCACCTCATTTCATTACAATATGCCACATTCCAACAATTACCTCTTCGGCGAACTCTTCCAGCAGCCTCTGGTTTGTTCTCTCCTAAAGCGAGATCAGATCAACCTGCCCTGCCGTCCCTATTAAACAGTCCTAACTCGCACAAACAAAACCACTTATTTCCCAAGCACAATTAAAGGAAGAGACAAATTACTGCCAGTCTTCACCCGAGCTGCAAACTCCCCACCGCCGGCGGCAGCATCATTTCCATGACAACAACTAGCAGAAATACCTTAGTATCGGCTGAGGCTTCTGTTCCACAGACCCAGCTCTCCTGTTTAGGAGAGGAAAAGTCTCAAGTACGGACTAACAGAACAGCAACAAATATATATCCACCCAGGACAGAAAGGAGTAAAAGTTTCAGGTTACAGCCCCCAGCATGTTAGATTAGTAACACTGATGTTCATCACAAACAGTTGTCATTTCAAGAGCAATATAACCGGCAGCACAACTTTTACCAAGTCCATCCACATTCTCTCTCTCCCATTCATATATACATACTTGATTGCTGTGGCGGTTCCGTCTTTACATCTAGTTTGTAAATGCCTATTTCCTTAAATGTGCATGTAGGCTCCGTCCAGTGGCAAAATTATAAAAGGCAAACCCAAGAGGTTCTTGGAGGCTGTATCTCTGGAGGCTGCGTTATCCCGAGTCATGGGAAAGGATTACAGAAGCTTGAGAGACCAGGAGCTGAGAGCAGCCTGCTGCTGCTGGTGGTGCTCCGGAGTGGAGCGTGTGTGAGAGAGAGTGAGTGATGATCAGCCAGCTGCAGCAATGTGCCTTTGTTTATATGCGCTGGCTCAGTGATAGAGATCTGCCTCTGTCTCTCTCTGGGTCTCTCTCTCTTTCTCTGTGTGTGTGAGGAGAGAGGAAGGAGACTCCTCTGCTGCTGCTCTCTCCCTCTCCCTCTCTCTGAACGTCATTTATGTGAGAGGAGCCCTAGCGGCCTCTCCATAGAGCGACTGGAATGCGAGACGTCAATAGTGACGCCATGGGAGCCTGACGCTACTCGCCCCCCCCCTCCGCCCCAGAGTCTATGAGTCTCTCCTTCGGTACAGTACAGCGTGTGTGAGAAAGCCCCGGCCCCGCACCTACACTGCCGGCATCTGGCTGCGACGCTCTGCTTAAATTTTCAGAGTGCTGTCAACCTGCGAGGCGTTACTAGGAGGGGAGAGGGAGGATATGGCTGACAGGCTGGGTCTGAGTATAGGAGGCGCGGGAATGTTAGTGGCAGTGTAGATATGTATCAATAATATCTATGGCGAGGGTTAATAATTAGAGCAATGCCTTATGCTGTTACTGGACACAGTAGCATTGCTTAATCGTCTATATTTCAAGACAAAATAAGAGAGTATTTAATAAGGTAAAGTTTAGCCAGCACTTTGGACATGTAAACCGCGCTTATTAATGATGAGGACGAGGATGTTTAAAATTGTTTAAGAGAAGAAAATAAAAGGAAACTTTTTAATGTGTAGGAACAAGGCGCAGGTTCTGAAAGATCTCATTATACCCGGCCGGGTCTCTCTGCTCGGGTCACATATGTCGGTCACCAGTCACTTCGGGAAATTTCACCATCATACATGCAGCTGTAACTCAATTTGCTTTCGCTCTAGCTGGGCTCTGAGCTCTCAGTTATCCATTGTAACAAATGATTGTTGCTCTGTCTGATTCTATGTTTGCTCGCGTGTCTTCGCAATGTGAATGAGGGTATCCTCAGGAGGAGGCTTTACTTTCTTCTCATAATAATTGTTCATATAGTGGATTAATTTGCACCGTTCAAACAAATAAGAGCTGGACATTGCAAACTGCATAGAAAATACAATTTTGAATGAAACAGCTGCGGCTGCAGCTCACACACACATACAGGGACGAGGAAGGAGTGAAAGAAGAAACGCCGATTGCACTTTCACTTTGTTTAGGCTGGATTCACGATCCTCCTTTTCTGGTGTCTACATTACACAGTTCCTGGGAACTAAATGGGTTTCTGCACTCAGTCCTGTGGAGCTGGTTTTCTTGCTTTTCCTCTCCGGACGGAGGGGTGCAGTTGTGATTTGAAGAAGGAGACATGGGTTGGCTTGCTATTTAGAGGGTTTTTTGGAGGGGTGTCTTTGTGAATCCGTGTGTGCATGCGGGTAAGAGTCTCACTGAAACAAGCGGAGCTTTTAATAAGTAACTTGCAGTGAGTCCGGGACCAGAAGCCCACCGGGGCACTGCCCAGCGTCCTCGATCTCCTGTGTCAGTGTCACATCCCTTCCCAATCCATCTCACAGAGGGAGCACTTTGGCTCCAAGCGAGCAATCCGGCCGCAGGCGGGTACCTAACACTAGATATTTTTTTCTACTTTCTTATACAGCGAGCCCCTTTCGGAGCCAATCAGAGGGGACACGTCACCATGGAACGCCGTCCTCTTGCCGGCGCGCCCAATCCCCGCGCACGATGCGCCGGGCTCTATTCCAAGGGGCGGGACCCGGGGGGCTGACGCACAAGAGGCGCGTGATTGACGCAGGCTGTGTTGCTAAATTTAGCCTCTGGCCTGTACAAGCCGATTGCGATCGCGCGGGGGAGGGGGCGGAGCCCATTGAGCGGCGGCGGCGGGGCGGGCGCGCGCGCGCGCGGGGCTGGGGCTATTTTGGGTCTTTGCTTTGATCCGGCCAAACCAAATATAGCTGCAGCCGGGTATTTATAGCCCTGGCGAGTCCCATTGTCGTGAGGGCCGCGCCCCCGGCTGGCTTCCTCGGGGCGGAGGGCCTCAGGGACGGAGCGGCAGCGCCCTTACTGCCCCCGGGCTGCCCCCGCGGTGGGTCGGGGCGCCGGGCCCCGTGCACAGGGTAGTGCCGCCGCCGGGGCAGCAGTAGCAGCAGGCAGAGAGCCGGGCTTGCCTGTGGGCAGCTGGGTGCCGCCGAAGGGGAAGCCGGAGAAACTTCCCGGCAAGAGGCGCCGGGGGCTGTGACAGCCCCGCAGCCCGGCCCGCCTGGCGCGCTGCACAGTTTCCCACCGAGCGCCCAGCCCCGTGTCGGGCTGCCTGACGCGGTGCCCCGGCGCGGGGGCGGCCGGTGATTCCCCGCTCGGGAATGCGCAGCGCCTGCGGTCACTTGCCCGTCCCGATCGCCGGCCAAACGCCCCGCGCTGGCTGCCTGGCGCTCCCGGCTCAGGGCGCGGGCGGGCAGCGGGAGCCGGGACCCCACCTGCCCTGGCCTGCGGGCAGGGCGCGGACTCCGTGCCAAGGGCTGCCCCGGCCGGGCGCTGTGGGGATACCCCTGTCTGATGTAATGGAGCGGAGCAGGGGGCGGCGGCGGGCTCGCATAGCGGAGCGGTGACCTCACGGCAGAAGCGACGGCTTGTTGGGAGCCCCCGCCCGCCTGTTGAGTAAGCGCTTTGAGAAGTGAAAATGCCATGACGGGCCGGTGCGCTCATCCCCGGGGCTGACAAGCCGCAGACCAGGGGAGATTCCCTTTGATGCGCTCCCTGTGTGGGCGGCCTGGGGCAGAGGGAACTGGTGGCACTTTCCGCCCGTCGTTCCCCCCTGCACAGCCGCGATAAAAATAATTCGCTTTCCATGTTGTCATCTGCCTACTCGTCCCGGTGTGCCTGGCTGTAAAGGGAACTGGAGAGAGTGCGCAACGCCCGCTGCGTGGCCTGCCCGACGGAAGGGCTGCGGCGCTGCCTGATATTTTCCTCAACCCAGTTCCTGAGTTAGCCCAGTGACCCCGATTCCCTTTTTATTCTCGTAATTCCTCCCTTTGATTACAACGCCGCCCCCCCCCCCAGTTTAGAGAGACATCATCAACTGGGAAAGCCGGTTTCTGTACCTCCTGTATTCACAAATAGCTCCTAAAATAACAATCACTGAAAGAGGTCGGCGGGGGAAGAAATCTGCATGTGTTCAGTTTGCTTACTTGTCAAGTCTGACAGCAGCCTTCCTTGTTGAAAAGATCGTTATACAAAGCAGGGGCAGAAGAAGCCTTAGTAATGTGTAGAGGATTTTAAAATAATTAAGGACATCCTGTTTGAAGGATATGCTACCATAGACTGGATTTGGGGTACGTGTGTCAAAAAGTCAAGTTGACAGTGTCCCTTGAAACACTTGAGGCCAAGTTCCTCCTTGGATAAGTGAGTTGTAACCTGCTATTTGGAATTAATCTCTGCTACCCTGCAGTCAATGTAGTTATACCCAGGCAGACTTTAGTTAATTTTGTACAAATTTATGCTAGTGCCCAGCATGTGCTTTAGAAACTCTTGAGGAGGAGGGGCCCTGTTCCAGACAGCCCTTAGTATTTGAGGACACAAGTGAACAAAAGTTAGGGGAAAGGGAACAACAACAGACCAGTTATATAATATTTATATACAAGTCAACTTAATTCATTGTAAGCAGCATAGGAAGTGGGTCTGTAAGAGGGACTTAAATGTAGGGGCTTTGTGAATGAGCTCAGGGATGTATGGGGAATGTGTGGGGAAAAAATTGGGGGGGAGAGACTGGTGAATGGGTAGACAAGGCTGGAAGTATTGGGACACTGAAGGAGGCGGGAGGCAGCACAAAGCTTGATCAGGGAGGGTAGGTAGGAAGGGTGGAGTTCTGTAGAGCTGAGGGTGATAAGGAGAAAATTCAATCTGATGCAATAGACTAGGATGGGGAGCAAGTGGAGGGATTCATTTTCAGTTTTTCCACTCATGTATTGTACAAATAACTTGGCTGTAATAACTTTAACTGTTGCGTATTAACTTCTTATTTGAAGTGGCAGTTGATTGCTCCAAGCGCCGATTAAAGTATAGACTCTCTAGGTCCATTCCTAGGCCCCAAGCTCCTGGAATCATTTGACTAAGAAAAAAGTAAATGCATAGCCCTGGTAGTGATGAAGAAAGGTGTGAATACAGGATATGATTCTAATTAAGACAGTGACATGTGCCTGAGTCTGCAGACAGCCTGGAACTGCACCTCTGAGAGAGGTGAATTACCCCATGCATTTCAGTGGGGTGTTAATGCCAACACCAACTGCTTTAGGGGACTTTGACAACACTAGTCCAGCAACAGACCCTGTGGGTGGCAGGAGGAGAAATGTGCAGCAAGCCCCACCCAGCCAAGCAGATATAATCTAGCTGCTGGAATAAGTACTGTAACCCCCGTGCTATAACACCTGCCTTTCCAGGGCTGGGAGAAGGAGAACCCATGCTCTCTCTTTGGGAGGAGAGGAAAGTTATCATGCCAACTGCATCTCAAAGTAGGAGGTGTGGTCAAGGATAAGGCTGTTGGGTGGAGCCACAGTGTAGGTCCATGGGGTATGCAGGGGCAATTTCTGCCCCCAAAAGAATTTCTGAGAGAAATTCAGGTGATTGAAACCAGGGGTTTGTGACTGTTATAAATATGTTCTGATTGCTTTATCCACAGTAGTTCTGTTTACCCAGACAGAAGCTCCACCAACTAGTGGAATTGCCTGAAATTTTGTGATACCACAGATGGGGAGGCTTCTTGGCTTTTAAGAGCTAATTCTTTCTTGTGTGTGTCAATCCAAAATTAAAAGCATGGAAGATAGTGAATTAAACAAAGGAAAAACTTCCCTTCAAACATACTTTTAACTCAAACAGTGATACTATTAATGCACTTCATGCATCTGAAGAAGTGGGTTTTTTAACCATGAAAGCTTATGCCCAAATAAATCTGTAAGTCTCAAAGGTGCCACCAGACTCCTCGTTGTTTTTGTGGACACAGACTAACACGGCTACCCCTCTGATATTAATGGGAGGTGCTGGTGGAATTGTAAATCAAAGGGTACGTCTACACTACCTGCCGGATCGGCAGATACCAATCGATCTATCAGGGATTGATTTATCGCGTGTAGTGTAGATGCGATAAATTGATCCCTGATCGCTCTCCCGTTGACTGCTGAACTCCAGCTCGGTGAGAGGCGGAAGCAAAGTCGACGGGGGAGCCGTGGCCGTCGATCCCACGCTGCGAGGACGCGAAGTAAGTAATTCTAAGTCGATCTAAGATACGTTGACTTCAGCTAC